TGAACATGTCAATAAAACCCTGGGACAATAGCAGCTCTGATGTTGACTATTAAAACATTATGTAGGTTGGCCACATGGGAAAGCAATCAAACTGAATATGCCAGTTTAAAAAGATTGATTTGAAAATGGAGAGGGAATCAATGTTACAGATGTCTGGTGGGAGGGACTTCCACTCTTATGACTGTACTGTACATATGAAGCTGTATATGAACTCATATCATTGTGACTGGAAACAGCAGGTCTGCCGAGGTCCAAAGCTAAAACACTCCACTTAACAGCACCCCTGACATTCACTATTAACACGTTACGTCTTATTTGTTTTATCACTGGCAATGCAAATAAGCTAAGCTAACCAGCTGCTGGCTACAGCTTCGTATTGACTGTACACGTGTGGGAGCACCCTCCTCACCTAACCCTCATCTCATGAAGACAGCAACTACACATTTCTTGCAGATTGAGCAGATCAGTGTACTGCATCAAAGCCACTCAAGTATTTCACCTCTTAAATCACAGAGGTTTCAGCATCAACTTCATGAATGCAAATTAAAGTGAATTAAATTGTGACCAGTCAACTAAAGTCCTGTGCAACACACACTTTTTTAATTTGCTCTACCCAGCCTCTGGAACGTGATGATGCACTGCCACAACATTTGCCTAATTTAAATCCTAATGAGGCTGCAGATACAGACACTTCCAGAGCAGCAGGTGATGAGCTATTCTCTGCTACAACAGAATGTATCTTAGCTGGAAGTGGTTTCTGTGAATCTGATTGTGTGAAAACAAATTAAAATCTAAAGTGCAGTACCTTTATGCTGCGGGTCTTTTAAGCAAATCAAAGTAAAACACTATTACCAAAGTCTGCCACTTATACGACACAAAATGTCTTTGCTTCAAAGAGCTCTGCTTAATAGCTGCTGAGGGAATTAAGTCACTTCCCTGCAGTTTCATCTGTGCCACATTCTGTCTCTTACAGCGCTGGCACTTGTTGGCATTTTCTCTCCTGAAATATCCACCCGCCTCGCCCAAGGGAAGCTTACCTTTCCCATTATGTGTGAGAAATCATTTTGTGACAGTGCAGCTCTCAGTGTACACAGCACACAGAGGAAGTGGAGGAAGGCGAAGGGTAATCTAGAGGTCAGAGATCAAACTGAGGCAGGCGGAGGTCAAACTGAGGCTACAGAGTGAATTTTCTTTTAGTGTTATTGACTAGTGGGCAATTAGAGAGGCTGATTAGGGAACTTCAGCAGACCAGTCGATAGCCATATCAGTTACATATGACTGAAAGCTCAATCAAGAGTGTTTAAATGGGTTAAGAAAAAATAAGAAAAAGAGAGAGACATATATCACGGACACCTTCCATGATTAGCTTTGCACAGATTGGACTCCCTCTCCTCCACTTTGCCACTAATGAGGGGAGGATTATAAGTGAGCTGCCACCGGTGAGCTGAGCCGGAGCTGGGACTGGGCCCCGTCTCCTTCCACGTTTTGGGCTGACTGGGGATTTAAAAGTACAGAAAGTTCAAAGCCTTGGACGGGAACGTTCAAAAGAACCACAGCCGAGCACGACGTGGAGAGGAAGAGGAGAGGGGGGAGAGCTAGCTACTTACAGCAGCGCTCTCCCACAGTCTGTAGAGGATGAGGAGGCCGAAGGTGGAGGGAGGAGGGAGGAGGGTACACCAAAGGGCAAATGCTTGTGAAAATAAACTGAGATTCAGGTCAATGCGAGAAGCTGAGCAGGTGGAATTCTGCTGACATGTTGAAGTAAAACTGAAAGTGAGAGGCAAGGTTTTGGGTGGAGCAAATCATCAATAATACAGGACGTGGAATTGCATTTGGACTAAAATAAAACTGATGTTTTATGCCACCGAGCACATCACCGCTGTTGTTGTGTTCACCTCTGGGACCCAATGAGATGGGTTTTTGTTGCATGTTGAATGTTAACAGTGTCCCTGGAAACGGTGCTCACATATTCTTACACCCACACTTTTGTACTGTAGAGTGACAAAAAAGTCCAAATGCTCCGTCGGAATGAAACATCCACCAACAAAACTACACATGCTGTAGAGTACACGTCTCCCTACACAGATACGGCCCCCGAAACTGCCAGTGAAGCACTTTCTCAGGTGTCCATTTCTACACAATGACATTCATTCGACACAATGAAACCACGGAAACGCCCTCACACCCTTGGGACTGAAAACATCGGAGGAATTTCTATAATCTACAAAGATTTACAGTAACAACATAAAGCAGCATGTCAACATGTAGGAGATTAACTTTTGAAGACTGAGATAATCTGCACAACATTCAGTATAAACTATGTAACACTGTGCTTTGCATCTGCTACTTCCATCCTTGACCCTTTCAGAGCACCATTAGTCATGTGAACACTATAGCACGTTTAAAACAACCACAGCTGATCATAGTGCTGGACACCCTCCAAATAACAAACAGTAAAATAAAAGTGTTAAAAATAAATATATAAACAGAGCATAAATAGAGAATACAAAAGAAATAAAACATTAAACATCATATATATTTAAGAATGACATAATGGTCTCAAATTTAACACAGATTGAATTCCAGTGAGAAGAAGTGGGCCTTAAGTAATGATATAAACTATTCTAGCGTCTTAGCGGTTCTGATACGGATGGGCAAACTGTTTCAGAGATGAAGGGCAGCCACTGCAAAGGCCGGGTCATCAATATTTTTGAGCCTCGATCTCGGCGTCATGTCGCTCGACCCCAGTCATCGTGATGGAGTGTGAAGGTGCAGCAGTTCAAAATCTTAAAATCAATCTTGAATTTGACAGCAAGCCAGTGAAGAGAGGCCAGCGCTGGTGTAATGTGATCACGCTCCCTTTTTCCAGTTAGAAGGCGAGCAGCTGCGTTTTTAAATTTACTAACTGTAGACAACAAAGAGGCGACTGTTTTACATGAGCATACAGGGAATTACACCAATCTAACTGAGGGGTAATGAAAGCAAGAGTAACTCTCTTCCATCCATCCATAACACCGATCCTTTGAGGGTCATGGGGGGAGCTGGAGCCAGCTGACACTGGGCTGGAGGTGGGGTACAAGTGGGGTGCGACCCAGACAACCATTCACACTTACTGTCAACTTAAAGTCTCCAATTAACCTTATCTCAATCTGCATTTGTTTGGACTGTGGGGGTTCCCAGAGAAAATGCAAGGATAAAAGGGGAGGACATTCAAAATTAACACAGAAAGTCCCCAGCCAAAACAGGATTGACACTGGGAACGTTGTTGCTGTGAGGCAACACATTCCAAAAGTGATAAAACGCTATTTTGCCAATCAAATTTGGAGCAGCTGACAATCATGACATGAAGATTGATGCTAACGGGTTAAAAATACCGTCATACTCATCCAGGCCAGGTCGTCCCAAAATACACCATCTCAGTCTCGCTTTCCTAACTTAGGTTATCTCTATTAGACAATGCGACAAATACTTACGCCTGAATCTCTACATTAAAAATTCATGTCTGCTCGGTATGTAAATTTCAGTTCCTACATTAATATGGACACAGTGAGATTTTACCGCCGTTATTTTTGGTTTGGTCATCTGTGCAGATGCATTATAGAAAAATAAAAAGAACCATGGAGCCTGTTATATAATTCCCTCGTATACTAATTTAGCTCAAGTGTTGTGTTAGAGGAAGGAACTCTGCAGGTGTCTCGGAATGAATCTGTCAGTTGGTTTATTGTAGCAATAATGATGCTTATTAGCAGAGTATCAGGGGTGCATGGAAACAGTTTAACCGTCATAAAGCTTTAACCAGAGTGTTAACTAGTAATGAGGGGGTCCCTCTATGCCAGTAAACAATAAAAAGCCCTTCCTGTTGGCTATTAGAGTTTGACAGAAGCTATCCAAAAATAACTATCTACTTTAAATATCGAATAATTTATCTTAAAGTTAGTTAGACTGCAAACTCTGACTTTTTCACCCATTTTTTTTAAAGACTGAAGCCTGTTTTGTATTAGGACTGGAAGATAAGTCCAAAAATTATATATGGATAAAAAATGTTCATATTAGTTGATACCAATAATTAGTCTGATGAATAGTGCATCGTTAGGATTTATTTTGCTCCTGAGTTGTTGTTGTGGGTTTAAACTCTTTTTAATGAGCAGAGAATGACAAACGATTGAAATATAAGTATGATAAATGATGGTTATACCTCCTCACTATGCACAATGCATAAACATTATATCAATATATATTGAACCTTTGTTATTTGATGAAATGATAATGATGATGAAAGTTATCATGCAATAATTATTGATACTGTTTTCTTGCCCAGCCCTAAAGTGGGTACATTCACTTGACTAGTAAAAGTTTGAGTCCAGCTGCTGTGTCTGGCTTTAGGTCTTTAGTTATGGAATTAGCACCAGCTAGCGCCTCTCTCTGTTTAGTTTCACCCTGATTCAGCAGTCCTGCTCTTTTCGCAGAGCCTCTGAAAGCTAGGCGGCCAGAGGGAATGCCAGCTCATCGACTATTGTAACACGGCCTCCCTCCTGCTCTCCCTCTCTCTCTGCCCTTCTAGTCAGTACATCCTCCCAATTGTCCCTTTCTCTCTCTCTGTTCGGGATCTGTCTTTCTGTTCTTCTTGCTGAACAAAAGCTGCTGCGAGTGTGTATGATGCAATTGTAGCTGTACCAAAAGTTCACAGTCAACAGAAATGCACAGAGTGAACATCCCGAAGGTAGGGATGGATGGATTAAAGATTTTTGCTGTTTGGCAAACTGCAAACAAAGATATCACAATAAATGTTGCAGGCTATGTATGAGACCCTCAGTGTCAGGGTGGGAATGGGTTCAATGCTCAGGAGTAAATCATTTCTCTTTCAATCAAATCCAGTTATAAGTTGTGACTTACCTTCACTATCACACAAGTCAAACAAGAAGAAAATGAGGGTAGATCATAGATATTGTTGCTGATCTGACTTCATGCTTTGTAAAGTGGAAAGGACATGAGGAACTAACCTTGAGCTTGTCAAAGCGCTCGGTGAGCGAGGACACCTGGTGCTCTCGGTGGCGCCCCACCAGCTTGCAGAGCGCACAGATGAGCTGATCGTCCACCAAGCAGTACATGTTGACCTTCTCATTCTCATGCTCCAGACAAGTCAGGCTACGGATGTGAGTGTCTGGCACCGGCTCCACCAGGCGGTGGCTGGTGAATGGCTTCTTGTTCGGGTGTGTTGCACGCAGGCAGCGGTCACAGTACGACACCTCGCACGTGACACACGTCTTGACGGCTTCACGCGGCGGATCCTGCTCGCAGAACTGGCAGCTGATGCGAGGATCCATTTTAGCAACGACAGCCGGGCTGTGGTTGGCGTTGGTGTGGTTCACGTGATTGGTGTGGTTGGTGTGATTGGCGTGCGGGTGGGAGTGGCTGGAAGTGGCCGGGCTGCCGCGGGCACTGCTTCCACTCGTGCCACCACCACCGCCGCCAATTGTTCCAGCTACTGTACCGCTAATGGTGGCGGTGTAGGGCCGCTGCGGCTGCAGGCGCCGGCTCTCAGTAGGGGAGTTGGGGCCACTAAGGGAGGCCTTTTGAAAGCGGTCAATGATGTTCTGCAGCGTCACATTGCGCTTAAGGCCCTCCAGCCCGCGGTGATTCAGCGTGATGACGTAACGGCACGTGGGGCACTGAAAGGCTGAGATGGACTCAAGGGGCTTGCTGGTGGAGCAGTGGGACACCAGGATGCGGTGGGCACAGTTGAAGCACAGACTGTGGGCACAGGGCAAGAGCAAAGGATCTTCAAACAACTCCAGGCAGATCGGGCAGGTCAGCTCAGACTCCAGTGTTTCCATCTTCAGTTGAACCAATCTGAAGGTGACATCAAATCCCACAGAAGCTGGCCAGATACCTGCATGAGGAGAAAAGGTATGCATCAATATTTCAGTCACAATATACCAATAAATACTTGTTTTCATGGGCTATTTTTTTGTACAATTCAGCCATTTCTGGTTTTAACTGTCCACAGTATCCAGGCTGACCTGTGCAGATTCAGCAAAAATCATCCCTAACACACATATTTCCTGTACATCTACTTCTCAGCTGCTCAGCTTACAACTGTAGCTTCGCAGCAGCCTTCAACACATGACTCTTTCCGAGGAGGCATGTGGGAAGAGGAATGACTGAACGTACAAGGAGGAAATAGAGGCTGGCTGAATGGTTGGGAGGAAGCAAAAATCAATGGAGTGAATAAAAAAGCAGAGAAGAGGAGAGACAGATGCATAGCGGCACAAGAAGACAGAGAAAGAGGAAGCTGTAGAGAACAGAGGGCCACTGCATTCCTCCACACACTGACAAACTCTTAACCTTCATTTGTTTTCACTTCCATCTTTCTCCCTCCCACTTTCCACTGACATTTTTTGCACCTTCTGTGGTGTATCGAGCAATACCACCTTAACCCTAAAAACATTTTTTAACTTTCAAAGCATATTCCTGACAACAATTCTGAGCCGGACAGTGTAAACATGGCCTGAGAAGAACAGGGGAATTGATTTTCAGATCCTCCCCCTCCTTCTCCAAGACCTCCAAATCTCAGCGCCTTACAGGCTGCATATCAAACTGTCTCCTCTGGGTGGCCTTAAAACCACTGACATGAGAAATCACCAATAACCCCACCTCCACACCCCATTCACCCGCCTGCGCTGATTCACGGGCACAGGAACGCAGTTCGCAATCTTTTAAAAGAAACAAAGCAGGAGCCGTGAAAATACAGCATTAAACCAGACAACCTCAGATAGCTGATAGTGACAATTTCATTAGACGAGGTCGAGTTTGAAAGACGACGACCGTCATGCAGGACTAACTGATGATGGGTTGGATCTTAGTTTTTATAACTCATCAGTAAAAAAAAAACCTTTTTACACTTTTGAGACTCTGGTGAGTGACCTCTTTGAGGATAAGGGCATAACAAACATAAAAATGACTAAGTTTAGAGACTACTATTAAAATACAGGTGAAATAAAGAGGAGGGGAACACGGGACACTGACAGACAGCCTGTAGATTTAAAGGCTTCCTCCAAATCATATTTCAAAGTGAGGAAATGTTGAGCATGAAATGATTGCGCACAATGAGTGCTTTTCTGTAACTTTATCTAGTAACAGCCTCCTGTTTTTCCACTTAAACTCCAGGTGTCACATTTATTCCCCACATTACTCACACACACAGTTTTTTTTTCGTGTGATTAATTCACATTGTCAATATTTTTCAAACAATGTCACATTTTGAAGCAGTAGTAGAAGAAGAGGAACCATTTCTTCACCTATCCAATCTGATATAACATTTATTTGTCCATTTATTTAAAATATCTGTCCTGGCCATTGCTCAGTGATTCTCTTCTTATGAAGCTGATTTGAAGATTGGATTAAACAACGGGTAAAGTCCTATCAACGAAAATGAATGGACCAAATGCTGGGACCGTTTCACTAACAAACTGGAACTTGGTCAAATTAAACACTCTTGGTGCCAGCTGTTGCAGGAGTTCTTGAAACTGTTTGACGGACATCCTGAAATATGCCCTGAACCCACAACCAACCAGTAAACTCACCAAGCTCTTCCCTCTTCATCAACATTAAGCATATCCAAGAATTTTATCTTATTTCTGTTTACTAAGTAAACTTAGCACGAGATTATCACCAGATCATCACAACAGGATGTGGATTCCATCTTTCTTTCCCCTAAGGTGCTAAGTCTGCCCAAAAAGGAAATGATTTCCAAAAGCACTTGAGACTGTGTTTAGTGTATCATCACCAAAATGAATCTATAAATGCAACTACTTGAAACTAACATGTATTGTGCAATGTGCTGTGGGCTTAATCAGATAAACCTGACTCGAGATGGAAAACAACATTCACAAAATTCTAAGGCTGTGACGAGACATTGTCGTCCTCATCCTTTTAATTCCTCATGTGAGGGAATATTGAAAAAACTGTGTCATCCACAACCTATTTGTTTTTAACTCTGTCGAGCTGTGACTCTATCCTAACATTCCCTTGCACTGACAGGCACCATAATCTCAGGAACCAGCGCAGTGCATCTGTACACAGGCCTGTATAAAGTCAGAGACGCAGCTCGAAGCCTCAGACTCATTTCCACCGTCTCCTCCCCTCTGCTGCTCCAGAAACCGTGGCTCGACGCTGAGCAGTGTTCAAAGCAAACATGATTTGAGCAGCGGCTAAGTGCTTGAGAAAGGCACTCAACTGAAGAGAGTAGTTCTGTGCATACAGTGGCTTTGTTACAAAATTCATTATCCATAAATGAAATGACTAACTCCTCACAGCCTATCATGCAGATATTACACTGATAGAAGCAAATGGGCATTGTGCTTGTGTGCAAATAAGTGTGAGGTGTGTGTGTGGCTTTATTTAAGAATGATTTTTAGTTATGAGAAATTCATGCAGATGTGTGCACAAGCACATAATGTCCTCCTCCAATATTCACCTTAGCTGCTTTTATCATCAGATGCTTTATGTGATTGTTATCACAAAGTGGTGCAGTGTTAGAGAAACAGAGGGTTCAGTGGTGAGCTAACACATGAGGTTCTGCTACTTCTCACCAACAATAGGTTTGATTTAACTCGACTGCACACAAATAGAAATAATCAGACAAACAGACGTAGGAGGAGAGAGGCGACGGAAACCTTCCAGAACTTTTGATGACATGTACGGTCTCTGGCCCCTGGGTCTGAGTACTCAAGGTACAAATATGATATAATGATACCGTATTAACCTTTAGCCTTTACACTGCACATAATCGACAAAAAATAAATACATTCATTCAGAACGACAGATGTGAGTAAGAGTCTTGTACAATAATTGAAACGACTGCAACGACTTGATAAAACATTACAAATGAACACAAATAAATGATGTCAAAATATTCCGTGAGATCAGTATTTCACAAGGCATGAAATGACTGATAGCAGCTTGAGGCTGAAAAACACTTTCATTCGACTGCTATCAGTGATAGAATATGTCAACAACAGGAAACACAGCTCATATCTGTGAGACTGAGTCACTCACGATACACAGTCAAGGACATTATAGAACCACCTGATTTTTAATCTGGGAGCAGCTAAAACTGATGCAACAAAGAACAACTGTGTATTGTCATACCATTCATGATCACCAGTGAGGCTTGGGCTGCATTTTTCTATCTGAACCCTGAGAGAAAACTAACCGAGCCCTAACCTGGAACCCGGCATGCATTCTGTTTTTTTGTGTTTGGACCACACCCAAGCGTAGAACAGTTCATGTATGCTGGACTGAATGTGGGAAAATTTCAATCTTGCTCAGTAGCAATCAGGTGATGGAGCTGCAGTAGCGAGTCCCATCGATACACGAACTCAATCAATCAGGAGTGAGTCTCAGCTTTCAGCAGAATATTTCACATCATATTTGGAGCCTCAAATAAATTATTAAAACCAAATTTACAAAAATCAGTGTGATAAGAACTAACTAAAAATTACAGAAAAATATGTATTTGAGATGTTCTTTGACCTTTTATTTTGGTCTCTGTCCAATTCACTAACATGGAGGAGATGGAATTTACGACCATTACTGCAGCAAGCCACCAGAAGGCGCTCAAGACGCCTTGGCTTCACTTATTAGGGAGCTGTCATGTCGTCCATCTTTATTTCCAGTCTATGATCCCGACAGGCTCTGGTCAAGTATCCACACTCTATCACCAGAGGGAAAATCCAACTCTTTTTTATTCCATTTGAGAAAATGATTTTCTACAAATCCTGTCTCTTTGTATATTCAGTATCTGACAAATACAACTGAGGGTAAAAACAATAATCACGTAAGTCCCACAGCTCCTTTTTTCCTCATAGAAACAAACCATATGTTACCACAACAAATATGCTGAGGGATCGTATCTGTCAAGAAAGCTATATCACAACAAGGAAACAGAATCTGAACCCTCAATTACTGAGCTGATCAAACTGGTAGTGTGCATGGCTATTATATGCTGGATCTTTTTTTTTACAACTGTACAATCATATTCAAACGTTGAGTGAATCAGCGGCCTCAGTTTATTCCCCAGGACAGAGCTGCCTGTGCTGATGTTAATGTGACTGTGTTTAACGGAGCATGGTGTTATAATTAACTCCAAGCTTTAACTCACCATCAACAGGCCCATTAAGCTTTAGCTATGTCACTCAGGGGAAACAGTGTCGGCTGTGACGGGAGACACTTATCACCAGCTTTGTGGTAAAGATGTTTGGGTAACACTCTCTGGGATGGCCTTGTTTATAAGCACATTGATAAGACATTATAATACACTTATGAGGCTTTATATAACTACTTTGGAATGTTTCTATTCATGCATGACATATTATCTCAGTCTTGTACCATTGGTCACTGTGTTTCGTGTTATGGTCACTGTCGGTTTGTCAGTCTCATTAGAGGCAACTGTCTTCAATTACATTTTTTGTCTTGAGGCTACTCATAAGTCCTCTTGACTGTGTTATTATAGAACTGCTCATAACCTTATACAGAGCTGTAATTAGAGTTGACCAATATGGATGTTTGGGGGCTGAGGCAGATATTAGGGAGTGAAACAAACAGGATTCCTAAGATGTTGTTATCAAACCCTTATGACAGAGAAAAGTCATTGAGGCTTTATTATTTTACAGTTGAACTATATACTTGAAACTACAAAGAAATACAACCAAAACCTATTGATTGAATCTTTTTATCATACAATGTTAAAATACCTGCAAGCATAGATGCTGATACAGACAAGTCTGCTGACGTCAGACAATTTTATTGTTGTACCAATACATCGGTCGGGCTCTAGGTGACATTTTACTTAAAGATTACAAAGTCGTTTATAAGATATTATCTCATTCC